TTGGCCATTATAACCAAAGTCGGGTAAGAGAGTTAGTTATGCGTGAGGAAGGTGTTAGCACCCCACAATGCCCCTTTCGGGTTCCCTATGATGGATTAATTCATAAAATAAAGATTGTAGAAATTATGCATTTATCCTATTTATTTATTTGCAATATTTATTTAAATATCTACATGACCCTAATTTCTAATGCTCACAAAAGAAAGAGATAAAAAGAGTAAGGGATTGAAAAGAACTTTCGAAGTGGGCTTTTATAAATCTTTAAACTTAAGGATGCTTTTTGGCAGTCCCCTCCCACTACACGAGCACTCCTCCCTCGAACAAATAAAAACTTAAACTACCGAGAGCAAGATGTCTCAAAAAGAGACTTCCTTAACCGATTTTTAATCGAAATGATCACTCGAAGTCTAGAACAGTGTCTCTAGGTGTGAGAATGTGTGAAAGAGTGTCGAAAAGAGAATGTGTGGGGGAGTAGTGATCATTGAAGAAGATAATGGAAGAAGGTACTACTGTGTGGTCATGCCAGTGGACAATTCAAAGATGACGAAAAAAATTACCACACCACATACAAGGAAACCTTGACCGTCAAGAATGGAATAAAGAAGTTTGACTTCCACCTCAAAAGACATCACTTTGAAGTATAGATGGACAACTCTTCATTCCAAAAGATCCTAGAGTTCAAGAATAAGATGCCTCCTAATCCTCAGATTCTTCGGCTAATGGACTAGTTTTTCAGGTATGATTTTACTGTTATGCACATTAAAGGAAACCTAAACACAATCCGTGACTTTTTGTCCAGACCCAAAAAGATCGTCCAATTCATTGTTGACACCTATAGTCTTCCCCTGATATTCATGGTCAAATCTCTCTCTAGCCAAGCCAAAACTGTCAAAGTTTATCCACCTGGTCTAAACCCAACCACACCATTCAATGTTCTCCACTATGCTAGGACTCGTTATTTCTATTTTCTACATGAAATTATGAGATACAAAATAGTCTCAGCTTCTATGTTCAACCCTGATATTCCCTTTGGAGGAATCTTTGAACTATTTTATGAACCTGGTTGGGACATTTGCGAACCCATCCATTTTGAAGGAAGCAGTTGGACCTCCAAGCATAGTTGTGGAGGAGAGACTTTGATAGGCTGAGTCTCTTGAAAGGAAAATACTAGAATAGTGTTAGTTTCAGATTCATAGGAATATTCTAATTCAGTCTCGTTAGAGGAGATGTTGAGAGCGAAGACCGTCTCTTTATTTGTAGAACTCTGTTCAGAATAGAGAGACTTTATATCATCATATTCATCAAGCTCGGAGGATGAAAATGAGTTTGATGACTTTTTCAACTCGTGAAGACAATTATTAAAAAATGTGTCATTTTCTCTTATAAATAAAAACATCGTTGATAATGAATTATCTTTACTTAAATTTATTTTCTTATACGTTTTAGAAATAGTGTTACACATCATGATTATTTTATATATATATATATATATATATATATATATATATATATATATATATATAAATGTTTTTTAAGTATAAGTTGTACTACATATATATAGTACAATTTTACAATTTTATTTATTTATTGTAGATATATTTGTATTATGTAGTACAATTTTAAGTCTATTCCTACTTTTAAAGATGTTATAAAAAAGATGTTACATATCATATAATATATAATAATATTTTTAATACATTATAAAAAAATATATATATATATATATATATATATATATATATATTAAAAACAATAGACGAAAAAAATAAAATTCTAGATGTAGCAGCGTTATCTTGAGATGTGTGATATTCAATTTACAGTTAATAACTCTCCTCCGTTACTTATTCTTAAGAAAAAAGAAATTATATATATAGAGAGAGAGAGAGAGAAAGTAACCTTCTCATTCATTAACGTTTGTTTTTTAAAACGGATAGTGTAGCAGAATAAAAAACCCAAGATATTTTTTTCAAAAAAAAAAAAAGACACGCGTAAATGAAGAAATGAGATAAAATTAGAGACATAATTTATTATATGAAAAACATAATAATTATGTAACATGAAAATTATAAAATATTTATTTATTTTTTATTTACTTCCATTCAAGAGTAAATAATTAAGCCAGCAATTAAATATGTATAAAACATAGAAACAATTATACTTACCCGCATATTTTTATTTATTCAAATGTCTTTCTCTCATTATTCAATTTCGTTTATATATTATTTTTAGTATTGATTATTGAAATACAGCACGCATATAGTTCAGAAAATGTATATTGCCATTGGATTTTATTTATTGTAGTTCTCTTTTTTTTCCTCTTTAAATGATTGCTTATAAACACATGTAAAATATTTTTCTAAATAATATTTTTCAAATTTTAAACAATTTTCTTTAATTTTAAATAATTCATACGCAAGATTTATAATAAAATAATAAATGTACATTTTAAATCACTTTTCAATGTGATGTTTGAAAATTTATTATTCCTTCCTCTTTCCTATATAGTAATTACAGTTTATATTTGTTTCATAATAAAAAAACAAAAAAAAATCATTTAAAAATCTTCATGTTAATCATTTATTTCTTCTTTATTCTACACTTTCTTGATTAGATACCTAAAATTTGAAAATAAATTATAATTAGAATAACACATTTAAATGTAGAAAATATTATTAAAATTATCAATTTTCAAATATGACGGAGACGTATGAAATGCATTAAAATCATAAGACAATTAACCCTAACCACTACTACAAATAAAGCTTTCAACGTCGTCGTGCTTCATCAGAAGGCTTTCAACGTCGATTCTAATAAACCTCTTTATTTACAACCATCTCTATATATTATATTTTTTAGAAGTTTTTTAATTTTTTAAGAGAATTGTCATTGGCAGTGTTGTATCGAGCGAACTTTCAACGTCGGTAATCGATGTTGAAAGTATGATTTTTTAAATTAATAATTTTTATTTATTTACAACCCCTTTACCCCTCTTATTTATCTAGAAGTCTCCCTCTCTTTATATTATATTTTTATTAGGTCATCCATCTCTATATATTATATTTTTTAGAAGTTTTTTAATTTTTTAAGAGAATTGTCATTGGCAGGATTCGAACCCAAGATCTTTAGAGTTGGAGGTCGATACTCCAACCACTAAACTACTTGAATTTTCCGATAATAACTTACAAATAAATTATATTTATATACAAATAAATATATATCCGTGTAAATATATAAATACAAATATATTTATATATTTTGATATATTTATATAGTTATATATTTATATGTTGGATGTGAGGGCACACTCGAAAGTGAAAGTGTGTGTCGAGTGAGTTTTCAAAATTTGATGCTAAATTTGTGAGCAGGTATCTTTATATGAGTTTGTAATTTAATGATGTAATATAATCTTTATAATTTTATTTATATAATGATATAAAATAAATTTGGGAAACGCGTTATTTGCTCTCAAGCGAAAAATACCAATTTTCGCTCAAGCGAGACTTGAGTGAGTGAATTTCCGTGAGCTTTAACATATTTTCACTCAAGCAAGAGTCAATCACACTTTCACCCTCGATCGAAAAATACCAATATAATTTATTTGTAAGTTATTATTAAAAAATTATAGTAGTTTAGTGGTTGGGATATTAACTTTCAATCCTAAAATACTCGAGTTCAAATGATATTAGTGACAATTCATTAACTTAAGAGAATTTTTGGTTGAAAAAAAATAAAAATACTTTCTAGAAAATATATACAAATAAATATATATTTACATGGATATATATTTATTTGTATATAAATATAATTTATTTGTAAGTTATTATTAAAAAATTCTAGTAGTTTAGTGGTTGGAGTATCAGTTTCCAACTCTAAAGTACCGGTTCAAATCTTACTGATAACAATTTTCAAATTTAAACGATTTAAACGACGTAGAAAGTATATTTTGTAGTAGTGTAATAATTTTGTATTAAAAAAGACATCATTACCTTCCTTTTATTGACTTTTAATGTCAACGTAGTAACCTATTTCAAAATAATAAAAATTAATCAACCTAATAAATTATATTTAATTAAAATTAAACACAAAGTATTTATTAATAACAATAATATATTAACATAAATAAAAAAACCAAAACAATCTTTTTAAGTATTTTAATATCTCATTGTGCATTTAATTCATTAACTCGAGTTTGTAATTATGTATAGGAAAGAAAAGTTGAAGATGTTCCACTTTATGAATGAGCATTAGATCTAAAAATTCTAGATGGGCAAGGACCTAAACCTAAACATGGATCACGTCAACAATGTTCTTAACTTTCTAAAGCATAAGCTAAAGAACTAGTACTTGATATTTCTTTTGATAAGGATGATGATGAGGTTGATTCATATTCTTGATTTTTTTTTTCCTACACAAAATAGAAAAAACAATTAACTGGGGTTATTAATAAAACTTGAAAAGTTGTTTACACCTATACACTTTAATAGAATTTAACTCACACCTTACTTCATCACTCACAACCGTTCCATTATTATCTTCTGTCCTCTCCAAAGTACTAGCTGTAATATTCTGCTCTCAAACCAAATCTGCATTATTGGAAATTTTGGAACAGAAGGTACCTTCTTAGGCTCTGTTGTTAGGCTGGTGAGACACAAGGTGCTTCTCCACAATGCTACACCGTGCATGCAGCCTTATTAGGCATAATTAACAATTATGATTTTCAGAAATAGTCATGCATTTGTCTTTGTATTTATGTTTAGCCTCTAAAATTAGAATAGGAGATAAACACTACATTCTTTTTCCCTTTTGCCCTCACTGATATACACCAACGCACTCTCCTTCATATATTGAGCGATCCCTTCTCCGTTTCACATAAGGGCGGCTCCTTTCCTGCTTTGTTGGTGTGGATTAGGAGCTGCTTGAATAAATAAAAATAAAATGGGGAGTGACGGACAGAAGAGAATTGCCATCATTGGCGCGTGTCTACCTTCTTGCTGGTGGCTATGGTGGTAGCTGTGACAGTTAGCGTGAACTTCAGCAACAAGGGAGAAATCGAGGATGAAAAGGAAGCATCAAAATCTCACGTAGCTTCCTCGATGAAAGCGGTGAAAACCCTTTGCGCACCCACCGAATACCAGAAAGAATGCGAAGACAGTCTGAATGCCAACGCCGGCAACGTCACAGACCCCAGGGAACTAATAAAAATCGTCTTTAACGTCACCTTTAGTAGAATCAGCGACGGACTTGGAAAAACGCAGCTCATGCAGGAAGCCGAGAGCGACCCCAGAACCAAAGAGGCCCTCGACACATGTAAACAACTCATGAACCTCTCCATCGAGGAGTTCAAGCGCTCCATCGACAGGTTCAACAAGTTCGACCTTAACAGCCTTGACCGCATCCTCACCAGACTCAGGGTGTGGCTCAGTGGCGCCGTCACGTACCAGGAAACGTGCCTTGATGCGTTCGAGAACACCACAACCGACGCTAGCAAGAAGATGCAGGGACTCTTGCAAACCTCCATGCACATGACCAACAACGGCCTCTCTATCATCAACGACCTGGCGAAAACTCTACGAGATACGCGGCAACAAGCCTGGGCGCCGCCTCCTGAACTCTACCGATGGTTTGCCCCTTTTTTGCCAGGAAGCCGGTGACTTTGACGTTCCCGATTGGGTTGAGAACCGCGTTGGCGTTTGCAGACTCATGAAAATGACTGGTCGCAAAAGCATGGCAGCGGCAATTTCACCAACATCAACGATGCTTTGAAGTCCGTGCCCAAGAAAAATCTAAGGCCCTATATTATCTACATCAAGGAGGGTCTTTACAACGAGTACGTCGAAGTTGTCAGAAATATGACCCATGTCGTCATGATAGGCGATGGTGGTAAAAAGACAAGAATCACGGGCAGCAAAAACTTCGTCGACGGAGTTGGTACCTTCAGAACCGCCAGCGCTGCTATTCTTGGAGATTTCTTTGTTGGCATAGGTATCGGATTTGAGAACACTGCCGGCCCTGAAAAACATCAGGCAGTTGCATTGAGGGTTCAATCCGACAGGTCCATCTTCTACAAGTGCCGAATGGATGGGTATCAAGACACTCTCTACGCCCGCACCATGCGCCAATTCTACCGCGACTGTGTCATTTCTGGCACCATCGACTTTGTCTTCGGTGACGCAGTGGCTGATCTCCAGAACTGCACATTCGTGGTCCGAAAACCCTTGACAAACCAGCAATGCATTGTGACCGCACAAGGCAGAAAGGAGGTTAACCAGCCATCCGGTCTAGTCATCCATGGAGGGTCCATTGTGTCAGACGTCAAGTACTACCCATATAGGTTCGACAACAAGGCCTACTTGGCTCGTCCATGGAAGAATTTCTCAAGGACCATCTTCATGGGCTCTTACATTGGTGACTTGATCACACCCGATGGCTACATGCTATGGCAAACATTGGATGGCTTTTCAAGAATATGACATACGCTCGAAATCCCGGCAAGGTGTACAATCACACACTACGTGCACAATTCTCACTAAGTGCGTAGTCTGCAAACTTACCCAATCTGTACTACGCTCGAAATTGGTAACGTGTGCAATCCATATTAAGTGCGCAATCCGCTTACGTAAACTACGCTCGAACTGCGGGCAAATTTGTGCAATCGCTCAAAATCTGGGCAATGTGTGTAATCCGAACCACACGCGCAATCCATAATAAGCTCGAATCCGGCCAATGTGTGCAATCCGCACTAGGGATGCAATCCGAGAAATGCGATCATGCGAAATCCTCGCTATGATCGAAATTCGAACTAATCACGTTAATCTTCTTCTAAATTTAAATACACACAGAAATCAATTTTCACACTCTATATCAAGACAACTGTTATGAATTTTAAGGATTGTTCATTCCTTTTAATTGGTTGAACTTAGCGATTATAACATGAAATATCAAGGAATGAAGTGTATTCGACGTTTATTTCGGTTTTTAGTCTTTATATTAAAAATATTTTCTAATTTAAGACTAGGGGGTCGGTGCGTAAATAGAGTTTGGATCCGATGGAACTCAAATCAGGAGAAAAACCCTAAAGAGAAATTTGATCATAAAAAAGAGGAAAAAACCTAAAGAAATCATCTCAATTTTTTTTTCCGAACAATATCGTCGAAGATTTAGAATCGAAAAGAAATCTAACAATATAGAATGTTTTCACCAAACTTCTCTCCCAAAGGAATAAAATAAAAATACTCTTAATCTTCTAGAAATTTTGGAAACAATATATAAAACAACACAAAAGAGGATTTAAATATAAAAACTTGTTACTTTCAACTTGTCTATTTTAATAACCCTAGTGATGAAGACTATACTTCATACTATATAAAAAACTAAGTATTTATAACTAACTCTTTTCAAGAATTTACATTAAATTCTTTTATAAAATAACACTAGTGCAAAAAAGGGGCTTTTACGTCAGGTATTTAGGATTTTTTACGTCATATTTAAGACTGACGTTAAAACGGAGACGTAAATTTACGTCGATCCTTTAGCCGACGTAAATTTACGTCGTTATCAAGACCCAACGTAATTTTGCGTTGCATATACCACTAAACAGACGTAAAAACTTTCGGAAATTAAAAAACAAGCAAATTTACGTCGCATATTGGTATACGCGACGTAAATTTGTCGTTTTTTTAAATTGGGTTGATTTTGTTTTACAACTAAAACCTGCAAATATATATTACAACCAGACAATCCAGAGGTTCAATTTTCTGTAACTAGTAAATTAAAAATATAATATTATATAATTCAAACTACATAATAAAAGAATATAATACAAACATACAAACTAAAAAATCTATTACAAACTAAAAGTTAATATAAACTAAGCTACCTAAACTACATAATACACACAATATAATATGAACAAGAACTTAAAAAATTATGTACTAGAATTGTTGAACAAAAAAATTTGCCCATTGTTCCCGAATTTGGGTAATATCATATTCTGGTAATGGAGATGGATCTTGAAATACCCGAAACATTAATTTGACTATTGTAAACATGCAACATGAATAAAGTTAAATAAACTTAACTAATGTTAAAAACAATTACCTCCGTCCAAGAATCAATTATACTCGCACAAACAATGGCTCTCATCCAATACATAACATAGTAACCACATTCAAACGAGTCTCGTTTGCTTATTACACTGAAATGATGCAAAAAAAACATAATGTTATTTTCAAAATTTAAATACAATGGTATTCACTTATATAAATAAGTTTCTAACCTTAGGATAAATGAACTGCAAAGTCTTTGTTCTAGGTTTTCCACTTAGAACATTAGTTCCAGCACACAATTCTAAGTGAAAAAAGTAATATATTATTCAATATGTATTTACAATTTAAAAACATAATTAATGAATAAAAGATAAAGTTACCCTTGTAATAAGCTTTTCATTTCTTGACTCGGTTTCCGATGTAATGAACAAAACCACACCACGAGTGTAATCCCGTGGTATGATTACAATTAACTCGTCAATGGGATCTACATTGTATGACATAAAAATTAGTTACAAAAATATAAATTAAAATACAAATTAAAATACTAACCCTTCAATGTATGGAGCCAAATATATATGTCTTTTTGAGTCACTCATCCATGTTTGCATATATTGTTGGATTCCAACCTTTGTATTTCCAGATTTTTGGATGGATTGAGGCTCAATAAATCCGTATACTTCGGATTTTTCTTGTTCCACACTCAATTTGTCAATGTACCTAAAACAATTAATTATAAGTTGAATATAATTATTATAATCTTAGAAACATAAATGAGAATGACTTATATTGCCCACAATTGTATGATGGAAATGTTTAACATGCAATTTCCCCCAGCAATTTCTAAAGCATCGGGCAAGGAAATGTATAATGGAACACTGAAATTGTCAATTCCAAACACTCTAACATCTCATTGTATCCGACACCGGTCTCTTCCTCAACCGTGGTAATATGGTCAACAACATAGAGATGGGATCATCATCACATTCTGTCAAATTCTCATCAATAATAGGTTGTTTTTTATGCTTAGCACGACGCAAGCCCTCCTAAACAAAAGATAACAATTAATTAAACATTTATATAATTATAATACTATAAAAGAGAAAATAGACAATATATATATATATATATATATATATATATATATATATATATATATTACCTTGGTTTGTGCTGATAGTGGCATAACCAAACGTCTTGGCCAAGCCAAGAATGTCCTGCTTGCCTGCCCCACTAATTGAATCTCTTCATTAGGAAAAGGCATTGGAGCATTAGCATCATGAACTTCATCAACTACTACTCGTGTCCAGTCTGCCTGTAGAGGGACACCATGGATGGTTAAACTACCGTAAAAAACTCGACCAATAGCCACTAAACGCGGGGGGTCATCTTCAACATATAACTCACACTGGTGTGATGCATCAGTCTGAGTATATTCTCCTGAAGGATCAGCAGCGGTAGCAGCACAACTCCCTTTAGTGCTGACTAAAACAACATCATGTTCAATTATTTGAGGTGTTCCTTGAGTCTGTTGCTGAGAGCGGGCGAGAGATTCAATTTTCTCATCAAACTCTTGCTGTAAGAACTGCCTTATTTGATTCAACTTTTCTTCAAACTGCATCTCCATTTTATGCAAGGCCTCCTGGCTGCAAGAGTCAGTAGTGGTCCTTTGTGATGTTGGACCAAAGTAATCACGAAGGCCCCAGGATCCACCAGCACCACGCACACGTCCTGAGTAATCTGGTTTTCCTATGGCTGTCGCCAATATATCTTGTCGACCATGAGGAATAAATGATCCTTGGGTGCTCTGCTCAACTAAATCATCCTACAACATATTAACAATAATTAAGTCATACACTAACTTTCACATTAGAATCAATTAAAATTGACATTATAACTTACAATTTTCTCGAGCAATGATTCGTGCGGACTCGAAGTCATTTGTCCATCGATTTTGTCCGGCTGCCTTCCACATCTCATAGCGAGGGGTGGAGATGCAAGGTCAGTAGACTCAACTCCCGCTCGACCGTTCTCCGGCTTTCATGAGACGTTGCTCCAATAATGCATACCCTCCTCGTGACAATACATGGGGTGCATCATTCAACCTCTGACGTTGTTGGGCAACACGTCTTTTATCCTGCCAAGAGGGGTCCATTCGGCTGGCACAAAACTGTAACCAATCCTCACTAATTTGATACTTTAGACAGGGAGATTCATCTTGAAACTTTCCAAATACATACTCCCGTGTCAAGAAAGTCTTAAAGTCCCTCCATCTAATCGCAATGGAGGATAAAACCTTCTTCCTCATCACCTCAGTGTTAGGAACATCAAAATTTTGCTGTGAAATGACCAATAAATATTAAATTCAATTAATAATGATATATGAAGTATTCAACAAATATAGAAATACCTGAACATCCTGCCACATGAGGTTCTTCTCGGTTTCCTCTACATCATCCCAAGATGGAGTAGTAATCGGAACATGGTGTCGAGCTAGTAGTCCCAAATAACTCTTAAACTTAGCAGCATTTGGGCCAGATGCCTTACCAGAACGTGGATCAACTTCAACTTGAGTTTTCTCTCTAGCTACCCTCCTTGTTGTCAACCCCTTTAACCGAGTGACAGATATACCTTTACATCCACTTCCGCTCCTGCCACTACCACTACCAGTACCAGATGTGGAATCCAACATATCCTGAAAAACAAAACAATATGAAGTCAACATACTTTATAAGTTTGAATAAAAAGAACTAGAAAATGTGAAGATAAACACCTATTATGTTGGTATGTTTTCCCATATCCCTTCATCATGATCACTTCGAATTGCATGTATGTCATCAACTTCATTGTCAATTATGTCATCAAATGGTCTACTTGAAAATGAAGGTGTTTCATGTATATCTAGAGACTCATCTTCATGAATTCCGTGCATGCTTCTTCCTTCAAGGACAATTGACCATCTCTCATTACATGGATCCTTGACATAAAATATTTGTCTCGCTTGATATGCCAAAATAAAAGATTCATCCTTATACCCAACTTTACTCAAATAAACCAAAGTAAATCCTAGGTCATCTATTCGCACACCCGTATTCCCTTCAACCCATTTACACTTGAAGACAGGCACCCTAAAAGTAACATAATCAATTTCCCATATCTCTTATATGACCCCAAAATAACTCATAGAAGCTGTGATAGGATTTTTGTTTTTAGAACTAGAAAAATGCATAGATTCAGCTTGAATTGTGACCCCACTATTTTGTACTCTACCTTTATCATCTTCTATTTTTGAGTAGAAACAATAATTATTAATGTCATACCCACCAAATGTAATGACATCACTATTAGGCCCACGAGCAAGTCTCAAAAGTGTTTCTGAAACATTAATCTCAACATATACCCTTTTTTTAAACCAAGAAAGGAAA